TGTACAGATGACCAGAGTCCAGCCAGGGAATATGGTTCCGACGACCCACAGCTGTCAGAACCCAGGTCCTCGTCACCGCACGAGCTCCCTTCCTTCAGACTCGCCATGGTCACCACATTGCCCTGCAGGGGGCCAGCACGTTTGGTCACTGTCAGTCACGGCCCACTCCATACAGTGATGTCCCTGTGGCGCAGAGAAGGGTCCTTCCAAGTGTATTCATTTGTTTAACTTTACAAGGTGACTCAGATGTCTTGAACCAACCCCAACATGTTTACTTGCTCAAGGTCCTAGTGGTGTCCTAGAAACATAAACCAAGAGAAACTCAATTTTGTTATCGAAACTCGAGCGAGGGTCTTTGATATTTGCAGCACGAACCTCACGGGATGTGAGACCCGACGTCTGTGGGACGCTCGGAAGACTGTCAACTGTGCGTTTGCTCAGAGTGAACCAAGGTGAGCTCGACCTTCGTGAGGACAGCCACCTGGAGAGTGCTCTCCGCCACGGTGCAGACCTTCTGCTTCTGCGCCGAGGAAGCTGGGTTCCGGGGCAGGTGGGCTCCGAGGGCTGAACCCCTTTCGTGAGGGTGCGGAACAGAAACGAGCCTTCCTGTTTCACGGAGCCACGTCGTCTGCCTCCGTGTCGTGGCTTCAAACAGCGGCGCCCAGTGCTTGGTGTTCAGTGTGGGACACTCTTAAGAGATGTCAGCATTCGACAGGTGACCTGTGTCCCCACTGGCCACTCACGAGCAGATGACCTTGGGCAAGTTACCGTCTCCGGGTCCTAGGTCAGCAGGGGCCCCCAAAGCTCCAGGCCGGACGTGTCTGGGTGCAGCCCTCCGCGGGCAGGGGCTGCCAGGCCCTCCGCAGCCGTCCGCTCCCGCGGCTCCTGAGAGCTCAGGGACGCGTGTCCAGTAAAGGCTGTGGGGACTGGCTTTTCCAGACTTGACGCGATGAACGTACCAACCGGGGTGAAGCTGTACCGAAGTGGGTGCTGGGTCAGAGCAGCCAGAGTGTGTGCCCTTCAGCCAGCAGGAGACAAAGGTTCATGCACACGGCAGGGCCCTGGGCACCTGGCAGCCCTCACTGCTGATGCCCGGAAGGGGCCCCTCCTGTGGTGGCAGCAATGTCTCCCGCCCGGACTGTGGGGCCACCTGTTACCTGCTCCCTGGCTCAGTGAAGGGAAACTGGGATCTGGGCTTCCTAGAACCCAAAAGCACAGAACCGGGAAAGGTCGGGGTGGGGGTCAGACTGGCCCCAGTGGGACCCATTTCTACCTCTTTGAGCTCAAACAAAGCAAGTGGTCCCCACCCACCCCACACTCCTGCTCGGACACCAGGGCCCTGGTCTCCCTCCTGCGGCTGAGCAGGTGGGCGCCACACTCAGCCAGCCGGATGCTGGCGCTGCACCCGGAGCCCCCCAGCGGCCGGAGCCCTGCGGGAGCCTCTGCCTTCCCAGCCCTTCGGGGAGACGGCTGACCCCGCTGTGGTTCGTGGCAAAGACTCAAGAACGACCTAAAATGTAGACAAGCTTCAGACCCACAGTTCCAGGCTCACGTTACACACACACACACACACACACACACGCGCGTGCGCACACGCCATCCATGACATTGCACTAGTTCAGGTGACATCGAAGTCGATTGTGGGGTAGAGGTAGCAGGGTGGGGACCAGCTACCTGACCCCCAGGCCTGGTCCTGCCCAGGTGCAGCTCTGGCACAGGTCCTGGGATGCACGACGCCCGTCTCAGGCCCAGCCTCCTCTTTCTAGAAGCTCCTGCCGGGCGAGGGGCAGCAGACTCTCAGGAAGAAGGGACCTAGCCTCCGGGGCAGGCAGCAGGGAGGCCCCGAGGCCGGAGGGGGGAGAAGAGAGGCCCAAGGGGGCAGGAGGAGCAGCTCCTCTAGGGACGGTGTATCTGCCTAACGAGGGGCCCGGCAAGCCCTCGGGAGTGGTGCAGACAGGGAGGGTCAAAGGTCACAGGCCAGGTGGAAAAGGGCTGTGGGCTGACCTGGGGGGGGTGCTCCTGGGAAGAAGGGTGCAGCCCGTGAGCTGTCCCAAGTTTAGGGACCTCAGCCGGGTCCCACAAAGGCCGTGGTCACCATCACAGTGACCCCCCAGGGCTCCCAGAAGGAGCTGTCGGCAGGGCAGAGAGAGGCCGGGACCACTGTTTGCGGGTCCTGCGAGCCGTACAGGGCTGCGGCCCCCAGAGCGCTTCCCCCCGGGCCCGCGGACATCTGCTCTCACGGTGACAGTCACTGTCCACCGGCTCACAGGTGCCTCCTGTCTCAGACGGCCCGCTCGCACCAGGCTGCCTCCGGCCAGCACGGGCTGGTGCAGGTTCTTCTGGGCGCTGAGCTGTGAAGCCAGGGAGGGGAGTGGGGAGCGGGGAGGGGCCCACCTTGCTCCCCTCGCCCTGCCTCCGCTGCTTCCCAGGGTCCTGTCACCCCTTCACCAGGATGGGAGAAGCGCTGAGCTCTGGGGCCAGGCCTGTGGTCCTGCCCTGAGCCCCTCCAACCCCAGCTGTTTGAGAGCAGCATGTGAGCCTGCCCAGCACAGTGCACCGGGCTGCGCCTTAGGATGAGACCGCAAACCACATTAAGGAAGCCATTCGGGGCGGGAAACCACCATTCCGAGAACACTGGGCTTCAAAACCAACGTGACACCTTGTGACGATAAAGAAAGAGATCTGCTCACCTCTAACAAAGAGGGCGTTTGTGTAACAGCAGACAGAATCTGCATTGTAACCCCCCCCCCCCAGGGCTTCCGCCCGATGACTCATTGTGGGGGTGGGGGGTTGGTAGATGGACAACTTGTAACCTTGTGATATGCATTCTCGCGACCTGGCCAGCCTAGGATCAAAGTATGTGTGTGTGCAGATACGGAGCGCCACCCTGTCTGAACTGTGTGCTGTGTACATGTGCGTAGATAAGGTTTGCATGACAATGGCTGGACCACGGCCTCGAGGGGACACATGGGTCATAGGACTCAGGAATGTCTGGGTTTGTTATTTTTTAGCTTCCAAGTCTCTTTCTGTCGTAAAAAGCGAGAGACAAGCTGGGCTGTATGGTTTGCAGAGACACCATCTCAAGGAAATAATTTACATAAATCCACTTGTAACCCGGGAGAACCAATCTGCAAACAAATGGGCTGAGTCCAGAGGTCTGAAGCACTGGCTCCCTTGCAAAGCTCCCTCTCACTCCAATCAGCGTGTGCTTGTGGTTCATTGCTTTGCTCCGATCCCGGGGCTGAGACGGCAACTCAGGCCCCACCCATTCGCAGGAAAACACCCCCAGACCTCTCCACGACCTCCAGTGAGGGTTAAACAGACACGTGTGAAAATGTGCTGGAACGCTGCATGCATTTCCCAGCCTGTGTCCTTCGAGCTGACCCAGCGGTGGGAGCAACATGACTGTGCCCGGGGCTGCTGCTCTGAGCTCCACAGACCAGGGGCAAGTGTTCTGGGCACTGTGGCTCCAGACCCTCTCCAGGGCCCTATTGGGGGCGGAGCACACAGCTGAGGACATGACACCACAGACAGTCGGTGCTAAAGTGGGGAGGCCCTGCTCTGACCTAGCAGGCAGGTGGGCCACCCAGGTCTCTGGGGGCCTTGGATCTCCTGATGTTCAAGTTCAGTTCCCTCTTTCATGGCAGAGTCAGAGCAGCTGCCAGACCAGAATCCGGGCGGGTTGGGCTTCTCTGAAAAGTCTCTCTTCATCCGGCACTGACAGGCCTCGGAGCCCAGACAGAGGACCTTCCGACCCAAAGCCCGGCCTCTGGGGTCCCAGACTGTGGACCTCACACCTGCCCAGCAGCCTCCCAGCCTACGTCCTACAAGACGCCCACCTGGAGCCCAAGAGGCCTGTACTTTGCTTAGCCAAGCCCGGCCCTGCAGGCAGCTGGGGCCTCCGGTACTCTCCCTGACCCTGGCCTCCAGCAAACCCCTGGAAGTCCAAGAGGAAGGAACTGAACCAGCAGGGAGGGGGAGGGGGTGTGCCTGCTTTTGTCCCCGCGCAGCTGGAGGGCACACACCTGCCCCTCAGGTGAGGAGAGCCACAGGGCTGGGCTCCCTTCTGCCTGGCTCCTTGGCCTAGACAGACGGGGTCTGTGCCTCTTTCCCCTCTGGATCTGGAGGGGGGTGTGGGGCCAGTTCACATGTTGTCTCTTGCTGCCTTATTGTCCAGGTTCCGCAGAAAGGGGTCAGGTGTGTCTCTAGGGCTCCCAGCCCAAAGCTCCCGGACCTCGGAGCGCTGGACAGGCCCAGCTCCCAGCGCTGGTGCGGCAGGTGGAAACAGGCACGCCCTCCCCCACCCAAACAGCACCCTCCCACCCACCGGGCAGGGACCCCCTGCGCTGGAGCTGCAGCCTTGCTTTCCGAAAGGAAGAAAGGGGTTTCACCCGCCTCGCAAGCGAAGAAAAGACCCCAGACTTGGTGACTGAATGCTAAGGTCGTTCTGTTACCTTATGTCAACATTCCCCACAAACAGCCCCCACACAAACCACCCCAATAGTGGCGGGGGTCCAGTCGTCCTGGGAATTGCCACCCTGCAGGGGGCAGCCCCTCCCCCATGCTCAAAGCTTTCGCGGGAGCAACCAGCTGGAACAGGGCAGGAAACAGGAAGCCTCCCGGGACATGCGAACCCGGAGAGAAGACCCTGCTCCAGGCTCCCAGGTCTGTCTCCGGGACCAGAACCCCAAATGTCAGGCCAGCTCTGGATGGAGGGGCGTGCGGCGGGGCAGGCGGCGGGGCGGACCGCCGGGAGGGAGGGGCCGGGACAGGGGCGCACGGGAGCGGGGAGCCGGCAGGTTCTCCCAGGAGGGCTGGCGGGGGCTCCGCGGCGGGTCCTGAACCCTCTGTTCGGGACCTGCGGGCGCAAACCCAGAAAAGAGACGCGCCTCGGGGACAGCGCGTCCCCCCAGCGCCCGCGTCCCCGGCCCCCGGATGTGCGAGGGGCGCAGGTACCGACGCGCTTACCTGCGGGGTCCCCGCTGGGGTCCGGGTCGGGCTCACTGTTCCGGGTCCGGGTCGCGGTTTGGGGGCGGGTCTGGATCCGGATCGGGGTCGGGGTCGGGCTCTGGGTCCGGGTCCGGGTCAGGATCAGGGTCGGGGTCGGGGTCGGGCTCTGGGTCCGGGTCCGGGTCCGGATCCGGGTCGGGGTCGGGGTCAGGGTCCAGGTTCGGGTCCTGGTCCGGGTCCGGATCCGGGTCGGGGTCGGGGTCAGGGTCCAGGTTCGGGTCCTGGTCCGGGGGCGACGGGGTGAACGCGACCCCAGCAGTTTCGGTCTGGGGGAACCCTGCGGGGCCGCAGCTGTTGGGGGCGCTCCCGGGGCGGGGGTGGGGTGGGAGGCGCCCGGGCTCGGGATTGGCCGACGCGCCCGCCCCGCCCCCGCCCCGCCCCGCCCCTCGGACTGGCCAGGCGGCGCGGCCCACGCGGCTGGCAGCGTCCTGCAGGCCCCAGGTCGCCCGTCGGGGGTCGCACTGCCCCAGGGTCTCCTGTCCGCGGGTCGCGCCGTCCAGTTGTCGCCCCAGCCTTGGAGGTGCTCCAGGGCCGAGCCTCCCGCAGACGCGCTCTGGGCCCGACCCCGAAGCCGATCGTGGCCTGTGGGCGGGAGTGAGCGAACCCCACGGGCTGGGCTCTGAGTTTCTCCCCGACGACCTCACCCCTGACTCGTCCACCCGCCCCCCGCAGCCCACTGGCCTTGGAGGCGCTGGGTGCGCAGAGGTGGAGGGGTGAGCCGATGTCCTGCCAGCAGGGCTCTGGCCAGAGGACTGGGTGAGCCGCCGGTGTGCCTGGTGCGCTGATGGGCGCAGGCTCAAGTCCTGTGCGACCCGAGCTTCTGCAACCTAGAGGGTCCGAGGAGGGGCTGGGATGTGTCAGGAAGACAGGAGTGGATCCAGGGCCTTGGGAGCGGCTGGGAGGGGGTCCTTCTGAATCTCAAACATTTGTGGGGTCAGCACCTCCTGGGGAGATGTGATGAACTTGTGGAGAAACCTTTAGGGGTGAGGGAGAAATGTGGTGGGGATGGTGCAGACCTCAGGCCCACAGCAGCTGAGAGCCGCCCACTGCGTGTCTCATTGCTCGCCCACCTTCAACCTGCGCAGCCCCAGCGCCCCTGCACTGATGGTCCTGGGCTCCAGCACTGCTCAGTGAGGTTGTCACACTGTCCTTTTTAAAATGTTGGCTTCTGCCCACGTGCCTGCCCACGTGCCTGCCCATTCTCAGCTGTTTTTCTTCCTAGCCTGTGTCATCTAGTATCCTCACCCGAGGACATTTTTCCATTTTTTGTTCAGGTAGAGTGGGAGGGAGAGAGAGGAACAGAGAGAGAGAGAGAAACATCAATGTGAAAGGGACACATCGAGTGGCTGCCACCTGCACAACCGACCAGGGCCGGGGACAAACTGCAGCCAAGGTATGCACCCTTAGCGGGAACCGAACCCGGGTCTCTCAGGCCCGCAGGCCACTGTGTCATCTAGTATATGACCTTGTTTACTCTTTAGCCCCAACTAGAGTGTAAGCCCGTCCTGACACATGCTTTCTCTGTTGTGTTTACTGCTGGTGGCACCGCAGCTGTTGGCCAGTGAATCTATTCCTAGGTCAGCGCCACGCTCTCCCAGCGCCACGCTCTCCCAGCGCCACGCTCTTCCACAGCCACACTCTTCCACAGCCACACTCTCCCAGCGCCACGCTCTCCCACAGCCACGCTCTCCCAGCACCACGCTCTCCCACCGCCACGCTCACCCAGCGCCACGCTCTCCCACGCCACGCTCTCCCAGCGCCACGCTCTCCCACCGCCACGCTCTCCCAGCGCCACGCTCTCCCAGTGCCATGCTCTTCCAGCGCCACGCTCTCCCAGTGCCACGCTCTCCAGGTGCCACATTCTCCCAGCACCACACTCTCCTGGCGCCACGCAGTCATATCTCCCTCTAGATGCTCCGTGCTCAGTTCAAACCTCAACACATCACAGACACTTGCAGTGCCATTTTTTCTGCCTCCCCTCCATTCAGCCAAGAGAGCCTCCTGGGGGGTACAAGCTATTTTTAAAGAATGACAACCATCTACTGAATATTCGCTATTATATTGAAGTCAGCAAGGCAGGAGGCAACATTCCATTGTACAGAGGAGGACACTGAGGGTCAGGGAGGATCACAACCCTGTCAGGGCAGGGCTACCAAAGCCCGAGCGCGTCCAGCACAGCCACCGTCTGCACACACTGCTCAGCGTTCTGCTCCGCGCTCGTCACCAGTGTCGCCAGGCGCAGCAGAGCCTGCAGAATACTTGAGTTTGTCACCAGGCCACGAGTTATGCCCCTCAAACAGTCCACCCATTGCCTCATGTGATCAGTTCAAAGTAAGAGTCAATAGGGGAATTATGCACAGCCCGACGAGGGGGAGGGGCTCCCCAACCTGGCTCTGTTACTTACTTGTCTGTGATCTCAGGTTCCTTAACCTCTGTCTGCCTTAGTTTCTCTACCTGTCAACCAGGGTTCATATTTCTCATAGGGGTGTCTGAGGGCTCGTGGAGTCACGATTTGTATAACATTCAGAAAGTGCCTGGCGCACAGGGCCACGAGAGATTAGCCCTCCCGCTCCTCTGTGCAAGGAGACAACCTGCAGGGCAGACTGACCGAGCGCGAGGGACGGGGCTGCGCCCACAGAACGGAGCCCCGTGGGTCGCGACCCCTGCTCCTTCATCACCCCGTTCACTCCAGCTCCGACAGAGAAGTGACCCATTTAAATGAAGACAGCCAGGCCACCCGTGAGCTTGCTCGGGGACGACAAAACAGACAGGAAGGCCTGGGTGCTGGGGACGGGACGTCAGGGCCCAGCAGGTTCCAGCCATCTCAAGAAGGGCTTGGGGTCCCAGGCGTCGTCATGCCGGACGGTGTGTGTTGTCCGGTCCTGGGGGTTTTAGTTGTGTGTTTGTTTACCAGCTGCTGGGAAAGCCGTGCCAACTCCCCGTTTTCCGAGCCCCCCAGTTGGGCACCCCCAGCTGGTGCTCTGAGCCTGCCTCGTCACAGGCCACCGCGACTTCCAGGCGGCCTCGGCCTGGTCACTGCCTCTGCCCGTCCCCAGCAGAGATGGCCTTCCTCACGCCCCGCAGGTCTTTGGAGCTGTCTGGGGGGCTTCCCCCGGGTACCCTCCCAGCTCTCGCTCCTGAAGCATCCCCCCGGGTGTGGTGTTCGCGTGGGTTCTGTTTGAAAGGCGGTGTCTGTCCCAAGCACTGACGTCGTCTGCGTGGACAGACAGAGCGACACACAGAGCGACAATTCATTGGCACAGTTAGACGGTCATTGAAAACTTCGTGTGTGATGTGCTCTGTGTTACAGTAACGGGGCACGTGAGCCGATGTGGTCTGACGTGTGAATGCAGCTTCGGCCTCCGGGGCCACAGAAGGGCTGTCAGGAGCCAGCCTGGCCCCAGGCCACCATCCTGGACATGCAGGTCTTTGTCTCAGTATCTTCTGTGACAAGTGTCCGGCACGGGGTGACATCTCATGAGGCGTCTCTATGAAAGCACAGCACGAGGTCCTTAACCTCTTCAGCTGGGACGTCGATGGTTCGCCTGTTTCTAGGCTCAAAGCAGGAGTCGGCAGCAGGAGCCAGGAGCTGGGTGCCGGTGTCCCCAAGGCCGGTCGAGCTCTGGGCAGTGTCTTCTAGGGACGGACCTGGCCTCTGGCCCAGCTGAGGCGGGAGAGGAGCCGAGGCGGTGTCCTTGCAGCCGATGCTGGGCTGGCCGTGGCTGCCTCTCGGCAGGGTGCGCCACCCACCCCCCCACACCCCCGCCGGAGCACAGGTGCCGCTTCTGGCTCCGAAACAATGTGACCCTATCGCCGCCATCGGACACCGCAAGTGCTCGCGGTCGGGTGGGAAGACTTCAGAGTGAAATTTAAGCGCTGCCTTGGGGAGCCGCAGCCAAGCCTCTCAGCGTCGAGTGGGGGGCGGCGGGGGGAAGGATGGGGAGCCCTGTTATTGTCTTCTCACTAACAAGGAGTAGCGTTACGTCTGAAGTTTCACTGGACTCAGAAGACACGCCAGGTGGAACCCACCGGCATCCGCCCACCTAGGGTTTAGAGGTCACGGTGCGGCCTCCCGGGAACTAGGGAGCCAACGCCCCCACGGACACGGTCAGCACAGCCGGTCGGGGGCGCCGCGCCGTCCTGCCTGCTGCAGTGTGCTGACCGCGTCCGAACGTCTTGTGATCGGTCGGGCGGACTCGGCTCATGCTGACGGGTCACACTGTCCTCTGAGAGCAGTGGCCGCCGGGCCCCTCTTTAGAGAAATGCCCTTCGACCTTTAACTTCTGGTCACCACCAGCCTGTCCGTGTTGCCCCTCTCACCCCTCACTCTCCTTTTGCTGATCCGTGTGGGAGTCCGCATTGGGCCGTCGGTAAAAGTGAGTGTGAGTGACCCTGCACCTGGACTTTGAGGCTTTCGTAACAATTATCCAGAGACCTTTGTGCCCATCTCTAAGTTCACGGCCGCGCCCCGGAGAGCCCTCTGCTCCAACAGTGGCTGTCAGAGAAGACGTGGTCCCACAGGGTAGGACGGGGTGCGCGTTGTCACCGCCAGCAGGGAGGGAGAGAGAGCAGCTCCGGGTGATCACGGCTCCTCTCACTCGACTCCCCTGTCAGCCAGGGTTCATGGATTCCACCCTCGGCTGCCTGCCCGGCACTCAGCTGCCCTGGCCTCCGGAGGGGGCGCACCCTGACCCGGAGCGTCCGTGTGCCTGCAGGAAGGTTGGGGACAGGTGATGGACCAAGCGTGTTCGAGATGATCCCAGCGAGCACACAAACCGTGATCTGTGAGGGAGGCAGCTGGCGGCACCTGTGGGTTTGCTGCGGAAAACGGGACTCACCCTGGTCCGTAAGCAGATTCTCCGCCTGGGCTCATCCGCACCCAAGTCCCAGACGCCCCGTTAGAACCTCGGCGCTGGGCCCGCTTCCTCACTGCAGGACACGCTGAAGCCAGCAGTGAGGAAAGACATTAGACGTTGTGTCTCAGCCAAACACGACACATTTTTATAACAAAACATATACCTAATGACCCAGAGTTTCTCGTTACTGTGAAAAAAATTACAATGTTCTATTATTTCATGTTCAGTGAGTGTACACTTTACACAGGATGAGTTTACTGTTACAGGGGTTGAGGAATAAATCGTATACTGATATAAGCAGGGTTTGCTTAAGGAAGGGTTTTGCCTTCTTAAAAATCACCTAGAGCGATGGGCTCCGCCCTGCCCTGAAATGAACAACGTGATCATCTGAATTAGAATTGTTAAAATGGATTGGCCAGGAATTTAGATTAATCATGCTAACGCCAGCTGAGCAGATGAAGGAGGTGTTATCAGTCTGAGACACAAGCAGAACCAGAACAAAAACAGGCAGCGATGCTGGGTCTGGAAACCGAGCGGCTGAAATGAGAACCCACCTCGAGGCGGACGCCGCCCAGCGGGAGCCTGTGGCACGGGGTCCAGGGTCGCAGGCTCAGCAGGGTCTCGGGGAGACCCAGTCCCAGGACCCAGCCTCAAATCCAGGTCCTCACCTGTGCTGCTGACCCACAGACGGCGGGTGGGAGGTTCCCGCGTCCCCTCCTAGAGTGTGGGTCCCAGGACGCAGGAAACCAGTTAGACTGGTTCAGCCACGTAGACTTGGGAACCTCTCTGGGTTACTGGGTGTTAGAAAGGGCACAGCTCCGGAGGTGAGGGAGGGATTCTGGGGTGAGTGGGAAGGGCTTGGAGCCCCTGTGTCCTCTCCAGGGTCACCTCTCTCCCCGCGACTCCGAGTGCTCGCCAACCCGCAAGCTCTCCGAACCCGGCCCTTTTGTATTTTTGTTGTTTTTTTTGGTACATGCCCTTAGCGGGAACCGATCCCGGGATCGGGGACCAGGGACTCTCTGGTCCTCAGGCCGATGCTCCAACAGCTGAGCCAAACCGGCCAGGGCCTTTTTGGGTTTTGAAGGAGGCTTCATATAAGGGCGCGGTGGGTTCGATCGCTGTTGGTGACTGAACGTAACCTCCACCCTCTCCCCTCCTGGAGGTCAGGGGTGGGTGGAAGGCCCCCCTTCAATCACCTGGCTGTTTCCCTGGGCAACCAGACCAGCCTCAGACACTTTGCAGAGTCACCATTCCCGTCACAAGGACCACCCTGGGGTCACTCTTGGCAGTCAGGGAAGTCCAGGGGTCTTAGGAGCTCGAACAGGACGAGGACCAAATACAGTAGTTATCACTGCCAACATGGTAAGACAGCCAAACTGGTAAGAACTTTCATGAGTTTATTTGAGCCAAACTGACGATACTTGCAGGGAAGCAAAATCTCATGGATTGAGGAAATGTACCAGAGAAGGAACAAGGGGGTTCCCGGAATTCACTGGTGATGACAGATTGGGGGTGGGGTGGAGGAAGCAAAGCGGGGAGACCTCTGGGATTGGACAAGAGTTCAGTGGGGAGACAAACACTTCTTTCACGTTGGTGGGTACGGGGTGTTAATCATTAACGGTTACAGCACGTGGAGACGGTTTGTGGGGAATAAAATAACAACAAGGGGTTCTGTGGTCTGTTCTGGGGGAGGTGGTGCCCTGAGGGGTCTGCAGAAGGAGATCACTCTACATTCCAGACGAATGTCACCTTGTCAGTCGCAAAAAGACAGTTAGACAGGCTCCCGTGAAGGCAAAGACTGACCTTTGTCGGGGAGACGCTGGCCTAGGGCAGGAACTCACTTTAGGGGGAACATTTTCATTTCAGGTCCCTGAGTTTGTGAGGCCGGCACACAGGCCTCCCCAGAGCTGGTCAGATTCAGTATGTGGCCCCTTTTTTGTCCATATGACAGATCACAAACATGTTATTGCCATGATTAGCTAGTTATTCATATTAATAATGGAAAAGGCGCAAAGGGGAGGCCCGATATTCCAAGATCTGGCAGCTTCACCAGGAAGCTACAGCTTCATGCTTCCGGGAACCACCGCCCACGCCCTGCAGATCACTGGGGGAAGGGACCCAACACAGGGGGCGATGGGCATCGGTCTAGCCTGGGGAGCGGTGGATTGGCTGGAGGGCTGAGTCGCCGCGAGCACGCAGACTCGGGAGGTGACATCCTCAGACCGAGCGCTTGCTCCCGCTCCCGCTGCGAGCTCGCCTGTGTCCCCTCCGTACCACGGGGCCGTCAGCAGCCGCGCGGACCCCACGCACTCCCGATGCTGGACGGAGCTGGACTTTGATGTGGAACAGAGTCTGGGCCCTGGCTTCCTCCTGGCCCCGCTGAAGACAAGATCGGATTTCTCCCCTGGCGGCACAGACAGAGACGGGACCTTTATTTTACGTCAGTAAAGCTCCTCACGAA